CTGGGTTGAAAAATCTGCACATAACCTAACTGGTTTTCCACTATATGTAATCTGACTCCTTTCTTTCATGGCTTTTAATATTCTCTCCTTATTCTGTATGTTAGGCATTTTCATTATAATGTGCCTTGGTATGGATCTGTTGTGATTTTTATACATTTGGTGTCCTGAAAGCCTTTTGAATTTATTTCTCCAATTCGTTCTTCATATTATAAAATTTTCTGATACAATTTCATTGACTAGATTGTTCTTTCCTTTGGTTTGGAACTCAATGCCATCCTCTATCCCAATAACTCTTAAATTTGATTTTTTTATGCTATCCCATATTTCTTGAATGTTCTAGTCATTGTTTCTTACCATTTTCACTGTGTGGTCTACATTCTTTTCAAGATTATATATTTTGTCTTCATTGTCTAAGTCCTGTTTTCCAAGTGATCTAATCTGTTGGTAATGCTTTGAATTGAACTTTTAATTTGGTTTATTATTTCTTTCATTTCATGGATTTCTGTTTGGGCTTTCTTTAGAATCTCTCCTACTGAAATAATTTTTTGCTTTCTGTATTTGTTTATGTTGTTTTTTGTTGAAATGATATTTTGCTGCCTATATTTACTCTCTTATATCATCCTTTAATTCACAGAACATTTTAATTATGTATATCCTGAACTCCTCTGTCATTTCATCAGCTCTGCTGACCATGGATTCTAATAATGTGGTATCTTGATTAGTTTGGGGCACTTTCCTCCCTTGTCTTTTCATGTTGCTCGTGTGTTCTTCTAGCACTGTGGATCCAAGACATTAACTTTTTTTTTTTTTTTTTACCCTTTAGGCTTGTAGTGCCCCTGTAGGGTTCCAGTACCTCTCCTTTGAGGGGAAGGACAATGTTAACATCCCAATATCATTAGTTGCTAATAGACATTTACAGTTTGTTCACAGTGTACATAAATGATGAATTCTATTATTATCCACAATATAATCAGTAGGTTTGTAATAAGGCTTACAGTTTCTGATGGTGGACAAAGAACCGGGGGTGCGGAGTAGGACAATATGTTGAGGAGGCAGGAAGTGAGGATATAGACTTATTATATCTTAGGAATTGTAAAAGRAATCTAAAGAGGAAGATTAGTAGCGGGAGAAGAGAGAGGAAGTAATTTGGGGTAGACAAATAAGTGGGAAGACAGTAGAGCTCATAAAACAAACACACATATGTATTAAAAAAATTTAAAATGTTAAAATACTAAAAATTGGAGGTAAAAAAAGAATATACAATGCAATAGT